CAGGTGACCCTCTGGGCACCGGCAGGTTGGGCACTTGAACACGAATTCCTGTGGCATTTGCCTTGCTTTTCAAGTGCCTTGTCGGGTGATGTCGTTCAATGTTGTTAATTGTTTTTATGCCTTCCTATTAACTGTGCCTGCAGGTATAAAGTGACTCAGGCAGAGCTGTTTGCGTTGTTGTGTCGTCTGGCGGATGAATTGCTTTTCAGGCAGATTGCTTGGATCAAGAAGCTGCCGTTCTTCTGCGAACTCTCCATCAAGGACTATACCTGCCTGCTCAGCTCCACGTGGCAGGAGCTGATCCTGCTCTCCTCGCTGACTGTTTACAGCAAGCAGATCTTTGGTGACCTTGCGGATGTCACCTCCAAGTACTCTCCCTCCGATGACGAGCTGCACAGGTGAGACGTCGGGCTGAGCCCGCGGGTAAGGGAGCGAGATCTGGGGACGGAGGAGCCATTGAGAGGACGGCAGTCAGGCACCCTGTGACCGGCTAACCACAGGTCACCTCACCTGCTGCTCTTTTCCATTTCTGTTTTTTAGGGAACGGTTGTTCCAGGCTTAGAAAGAAGGCCGTGCTTAGTCAGAGTTGAATCAAAAATTCCTTCTGCAGGGGAAGGTGCATAGTGCTGTATGGTGCTTTTTGAAGTTCCCATAGCAATGCTGTCGTCCTCCAGCACAGCCCTACTAACTGCCTTTTTTATGGGGAGAGCAAAACTAACCAACTCTTTGGGTAACCCTGAGATACAGAACGGAAGGTCTTATTTAAAAACCCTTTGGGCCAGCGGAAAGGTTGTTCACAAAGCTGGTTGTCTGTATTATCAAATGGTTCATTATTAATTGCTATTTCATTGTTTTGATTACATAAATTTAAAGATGTTGCAACTTAGCTCTTGTTTTTTCCATAGTACGTGCTATCTGATGCTCTGAGGAACCTGCCTTTCATTTATCATTTTGGTCAGGGTGTTGTTTTTTGGTTTGGGTGTTTTGTTTTGTAGTCTTGGTGCCAGACAGATCCTCCTTTTAGTAGCAGACTCACAATCTCACAATATTATGGCGGACTAGGAAGGATTTACGGAAAGTGCTGCCCACCCTCCCTTTTAACATCTGTCCCGTTTGCGCTCTGCCCTTGCTCGGCTTGGCGATTTTGCAGGAGTCATCAGGGGACCTAAGTGTCTGATGAGCAGAGATTTAAAATACTGCTGTGGTCCTCAGCCATCGCAGTATCTAATGGTTCTTTGAGGTTCCTTTGTGCGTCTGTTTTGACAGCCGGAGGGGCTGGCTGGCAGCGGAGGAGTGGAGGAGCCAAGAGCTGGACCCAGGTGTCTCATTTCCTGGGGCAGGTTCCTCCACGGCGCTGTTCTGCCCGGCCATTCATCGTGCATCTGGTGCTGCTCCTGCGAGGAACAGTAAGGGTCATAGAAAACCACAATAACACTTGTTCCTGCATTCAGCCATCCTTTTGTTCCGGCTGTCCTGGTCAGAGCCTCAAAAGAGAAGTGTTTGTTTCATTTTGGGTTCGCGATAAATACGAGCGAGAAGTAAGAAAACAAGACAAAGGAGGAATCCTCGCCCTTCAGAAACCGGCAATTCAGAGCTGGTCGCCTCGAAAGTCCTTCAGAGAAGATCTGTGCACATGGATGAAAATAGGTGTTCTTGTGAGCAGAATGTTTCTGTAGTCTCTTCTTCTGATTTAGCTTTTCAAGTATCGTTAATTGTCATTAGTAACATGTGAAAATGCACCCCAAAAAAGCCATTTAGCAGGAAGTTGCACAGATGAGGGGTCTCAAGCGGCATGGCTCCCTCCCAGTTGTCTTTACGGTAGCTCAGCCATAGCTTGGCTGTCTGCAGGCAGCAGTGGGGTGGTGTCCCCTGGTGTCTCCCTGTCCAATGCCCTCGTGGAAAAGCTGGTCCCTTTGGATTTGCGAGGGGCTCTTACAGAGAGGTGTCCGACTTGTGGGTTTCCTCGAAGAGCCCCTGTTTCCTCTGGTGTTGATCAGTAACGATTGCAAACCGAAGTTCATTAGATCTCAAAGCCAGTTGAAGACATTTCGCTGAGCTGTGATAGTCTGGCGCTCTGGGGTTAATTTCTGTTCTTATTTAGCAAAATGATGGGAGCAATGCTAATGCTTAGGTAGGTGACGAATCAAGGCATAGGATGAGCTCCCCAGCCCCTGTGTTTTAATCACTTCTAACAACTGGCTAAATGTTCTGTCTGCCTGCTAGATCAAATGTTTTCTTTTATTGTGCTGTTTTTCTGGAGATGAATATGAAATGGATAGATTCCTGACCTCCCCCAGCACTCCTGATAGTGCTTCCCTTCCCCCTCCTCCCCAGCTGATCCCGATAACTCCCAGCCAGAAACTTGCCTGGTGTAAACTGCGAGGAAAAGTGTGTGGAGGAGTCAGTCCTCGAGAAGAAATAGGGCTGTGAAAAACAGAACAGCTTTGTTTGAAAGGGGGAGGAAAGTATGCACAGAAAAGTAAGACAGTTCAACTGCAGGAATGAGAGAAGAGCTCTCCTGGATTTATGAAGTGATGAGTGGCTCGTAAAAATGTGCATGCTCTAAAAACAATTAAACCCAACAGACGACTGAGTGGTCTTTGTGCTCATTAACTTCTTGAGCTTTGCAATCTTGCACCTGCAAGATTTTTAATGTCAACTTGAGAGCAAGAAAACTTGTACAACTTTAGATTAGCCGACAAGGCTTTCATCGCTTACAATATTACTTTTTTGAAGAAGTGACCTGGAGTTCAGATAGCTTGTTTTCACTTCTCTGAGGTCAAACTCTACCATGCATTTTACAAATAACTTTGAAGTAAACAAACACACATGCCAAAATAAGGTATTATTCAGTGAAAAAGGTTCTATTTTTGTTCTATTCAAAGATGGCTTTCTGGCTGTGCTCTTATTCTTTGTGCTGTACAATGCCAGAGCGCAGCTGAAGCTTTCCTAAACACTTCTGTCCCACTTCTGAGCATTTTTGCAATATGTGGTTTCTTTGAAACCAGGGCTATTGCTGTGAGATGTGTTCCCGAGAGGCCGTTCTGGCTGTTGGCACGCGTGGGATGGTCCTGGAGCGTGTCTGCAGGCACCGGCAGCCCTCCGCACCCTCCGGCTCTGCTTCTGCCTGTTGCTTAATGCCACGGCTTTTCCGTGGTGCGCACGCGAGGCGTCGCTCCTGAAGAAGCCCGGCACCCCCTCCCGCAGGAGGACCTCGTTCTGCACCTGCAAAATCTCCATCAGGCAATTTCCCAGGAGATTTTGGGGGAGATGTACATTCCCTGTGCATCAGCGTGCCCTCTCCTGCCCGTCTGTGTCACTGGCTTCCCTTGGCAAGCGTGGACGCTCAGGAGAAATGCGCAGCTTGTTTTCAGCAAATGGTTCAAATCCAGAAGAGAGCGTGGCTGTACCTGGTGAGATACTCCGGGGCGGGTGTAGGTGGTGGATCCAGATCCCAGTGGAGGATCCCTGCCAGTCCACACTAGCAGCAGTGCTTTCCTGGTTGGATCTCGATATGCATTTATTAAGTGCAAGGAATCCTGCACATCGTATTTGAGGTGGAAAGTTTAGAAGGAAACGGCATGCATCCCTTAAACTGCACGATTCAACCTTAGACCATAGCCTGCAGTCTCACTCCCTTTAACGTTGGTTATTTGTGGGTTTAGGCGTATTTGTATTTGTGAGAGGGATCCCAGCCGCCCTGCAGTGTGTCTCACCCCGGAAGCTCTCAGCCGAGGAAAATTAACAAACCATAACAAACAGGCAATAAATACGGCTGTGTGGAAGTGCAGGATCTCTGTGAGTCACTCCTGGGAATTTTTGGGAGGTGAGCTTCCTCACCTGTCTGTCAGATAAATGAAGTGTGTGCCACTGTTGTACGTGGGTTGGTGTAGTTCCTCAGCGTTTAAAACAAGACTATTTCCAATGGCACTCTACAGATACGAGAAATTGTAGGCACTTCTGCTGTTGGAAACGGACCTTTTCTGGGAGTTTCTGTGCAGCAGGGTCTGGGGTCCGTGTTCCTGCAGTCCTGTACCACCGGTGCAGCCCTGCTTGGCTGCTGCTCTGTTCGGCCGATACCTTGAAACGTGCTGCGCAGAGCCAAAGCCTGGGGATTGCGCTGATTCTATAGGTGACAGATAAAATTAATTTATTAGCTTTGTAGAATGGAGGGGTTTGTTTACAAAACCCGGCAGCTTGGATGTCAGGTGGGGTGAGTTTGTTGCGGAGAGACGGTGTTCCTCTGTTGCGTGCTGCAAGGCAGCACCGCTGCCAGATCTCCCAGGGCAGGGTGCAGGGTGCTGTGCAGCTGCTGGGGACACCTCCAGGCCCCCAAGGATGCGTCGGCGTTTCTGCTGGTGGCCAGTGCAGGATTTGTGCTTTGGAAAGCACAAATTGAAGAAGGGTGTGAGGCAGTGAGGGGCGAGAACACGTGAAACGCTGCTGGGGGTGGCTTGTCTTCCAAACAGGGGGAAGCACTCCAAGGATTGCTAGAGGTGCTTTTATCCTGCAAAAGTATCCATCAGGAGTAAGGTGCAGTGCTGTATAACGTGGCTGTGAGCTCCTTCCTATCGTGGATACATGCAGGGCAACACCAGGCAGACGGGGAATACCTGCTGACCCTTGCATCTTGACAGTGGGTGTTCTGCAGGGTGTTTTCATGTCCTGCAAGACAAGTATCACTCCACATGTCTATGAAATCTTATCTCATTCCTCAAACTGCTTAGTTAAACCTCCCATTAGCCCAGTGAAGTGTGAAGGCACAATCCTCCTTGAAATCTGGGGAAATACAAGTGTAGAGAGGCAAAGCAGTGAGCCTACAAGCATGCAAGAAGTTTTTGCGTATTTCTGGCTCCATCAAACCTTTTCCTCTGTCAGAGCAGGCTGGCAATGAACTGAATCACCAAGAGATTTTTTTTTTTTGCTAAAGTCAAGTTTGTAACTGAGTCATTTTCCTACTTACTTCTACTTTAATTTAGTGGTTCCAGCAGACTTCAAGCAGTTTTGATGGCAATTTTTTTTTTTTTAATTCTCTTGCAAGATGTTAAAATCTCTGAAGTTATTTTAATAAGCTTCTTGCCTTTATTGTACGGACTGTGTCCTGTATATGTTGATGTGTGATCTCTATCCTCCAGATTCAGTGAAGAGGGGATGGAGGTGATGGAGCGGTTGATCTACCTCTTTCGCAAATTTAACCAGTTGAAGGTCAGCAACGAGGAGTACGCGTGTATGAAAGCCATTAACTTCCTAAATCAAGGTGAGTCGATGAAGAGAAGGTATCGGTCCCACTGGAGAAATTCTCTGAAATGGTCTGAGCAGTCTTTGTGTCCCTTCTGAGAAATGGGAGGACAGGGTCCGAGACCCACAAAGAGACTCAAGCTCTGAAACCTCTCTGTACGTGTTTGCCATCGTGCAGACCAGACACCATGCAGAGTGGGAGACTTGTGTACCCACATGAAGATGTCCTGGAAGAGAACGAATTCATTTGCTTAGCCAATTTTTATTGCCTTTAAATACAGACACCAAGGACAGTAAGCGTGTCATTTTACATGTGTACCAATGGTACTGATACCAGAATTAGAACAGAGCAGAGAGGCCAGTGAAACCTTTCTGGATAAGGTTTGGGTGAGTGATGACTTACCATCTGCTAACAAACTTTTCATCAGGTAAAGATGTGTCATCTAAGTAATATTGCTTTAGATAACTGTTTAGGCAATTAACTAAATGATACTTTAAAACCAGTTAATTTGCATGACTCTTGTTTTCTGAAGTAAGTGTTGACTATTTGCAAAACAACCTTTCAAAGATTCCCAACTAGAAAAGGTATTTGTTCCTTTTTCTGCTTTAAAGGGTGAATTTGTAAAACCAATCCTCCCTTTTTTTACAGTTTTTCTGACTCTTCAAAATATTTACCTTCAGGATATATACTTAGGTCACCTAGTTAGCTTCCTACTATTTAGATTCTATACCTAATGCTAGCTCTTTAACGTGAAAAGTAATCATGAATGAAGTATTTATACGCAGGCAATGAATTCTGCCTGAGAAGGGACTAAATCTTCCAGTTGATTAACCAGCCCAGTGAAGGTGGCAGTCCAGTCTGTTGCAAGACCTTAGACATTTCAAAATCCATGCCGAGTAATTCTTCAACACGAGATGATCCTGGTCGTTTCCTAACAACTGTAGTGGGCTGGAATAGTTTGGGATAGATCGGTTTTGTTCCTCAGCAGTGTTTGTCCCCGTCTCCAGTCTTGCACGTTGCCTCAAGCCACTGCTGTGGATCCCCTTTCCCCGTCATTTGTTGTGGCACTGCGTCTCTGGGGCCTTGCAGGACATTTCTTCACGTTGTAAATGAAGACAACTGTTGAGAGGCAAATGCTTAATGGATGGTGTTCAGCTGTAATTTTGGAAATAAATGTCCCCGAAGTCTTCTGTACTGTGAAAGATAGTTGCAGTCTGTAAAATTGTGCTGCAGGCTCTCTCCTCCCCCACTCATTTCCAGCGGGAGATAGTGCTGACGCTTCAATCTGTGCCGGGCCGAGGTTCCGGTTTGCTTCCCTGGGCAGTTTCCTGACACTGGATAATGCACTTCTCGAGCTGTCTCCATTGTTTTCCAAAATGTATTTTCATTAACTTCCTGTCTTCTTTTATTTTTAGTTGAAGTTTGCAATTTTTTATGTGAAATACCTGAGAATTATTTTTAAAAGTCAGCTTTTGGGCAGTAGATAAATGCTTCTTCCGTCAGATGGTCTTACAATACTGAGCCTGCACCGAGGGTCTGCAGCTTCCCTGCTCCACCGCGCTGGATCCTTCCCAGGACCCCCAGCAGCGTGCTGATGCCGTTGATCATGCTGAACGGTGGCGGTGGGACTTCCTGCCACTTTGATAGCTTGGAAATGTCCATTTTTCCTTTGTGTACGTTGCCTGACGTTGGCAAAGCTAAATTTAAAAATAAGAAGTTGACAAGTTTATAAAGCTCCTATGACATAATTCATAAGCAGATGGGGAGAAATATGATGATACCTTGAATTATAGAGTTGAGCGCTTTCCTCAGCCAAGATGATATAGCTAAAATCAACATGTTTCTGTCTGAGGAAGTATTATGCTGAACCCGCTGTGAGGACTAAACCTTGACATACAGCTGCTTTACACCAGGCAGGTGGGGATTTAAGGTTGCTGGAGCTGTTATCTCCAAGAGCGTTCGCTGAGCTCTGTAGATGAGCAGCTTAGGACATTAGCTGCTCTCATGCTGGTCTTCCGTGGAAGGAAATCCTGTACCCAGACACGCGTGTAAAGACGCATCTGCGATGCAGGCAGGCCAGGAGGGGAGACGGGCATTTTAGTATTTGTCGAACTGGGCGCTCGAAGCCAGTCTCCGAAGCAGGGACCCAGCTTAAGCATTTTATCAATCAGTCTGTCTTTGCTGAAGAAATGGCAATAAGTGGGAGGCTGCTGCTGTTCTAGGATGTTTTCGTCATGTTTTCATTACTCTAATCGTATTCGCTTTCAGACATCAGGGGTCTGACTAACGCGTCCCAACTGGAGCAGCTGAATAAGCGGTATTGGTATGTTTGCCAGGACTTCACAGAGTACAAATACCCACACCAGCCAAACCGTTTTCCGGATTTAATGATGTGTTTGCCAGAGATACGATATATTGCAGGTAACTTTTTGAGCTCTTCTCCCACTGGGGTCGTGTGCAAGTTACGAAATTTGCTTTTAAGAGAAAATTGACTTATAACGGCGAAATTCTTGTCGACTTCGGTGGAAGATGTTTGTGTGGGACCTTTTTCTATGGAAGCTTCTCCCCCACCTTTAAGCTGATCTCCCGTCACCCCTAGCTCACCCAGCCAGACTAGCTCTTTGCAAGTTGTCCCTGTGACGCTGGTGGACGTGGCGTTATGTCCCTCTCCCGAGTCCCCTGCTCCCAAGAAGACGTGCCTTGCTCTGACCTGCCGCCCTTTAAGTACTTCGGTCAGGTTCTCGTTTTATTTTCTTCCTTTAAATCCCATCTCAGAGGCATTTTGTCTCAGAGGGGTGTAATCCTGGTTTGAGTAGTTATCTCATAAGAAATAGATCTGTGAAATGCCGCTTAATTAAGGAGCAGATGATAAGCAGGGCAGCGGGCAGACCTGCAGTGTAACCCCCATGTTTTCAGCTCGTCTGGACCTCTGAAATCCGCAGGTGAACTTTCAAATGCAGTTGTGTCACTAATTAGGTCTGCAAGGTCTGGTGTTACTAAAACATTGTTTGCTCCTGAATGTTATGGCAAAGGGAGATACTTGCCTCCCCATGTCAAGGCTCCGTATGCTTCATCCTACTCTGCTGTAACGAACTAGATAATAATCACAGAGTAGCTCTCGTAATTTACTCACTGAGATCAACAAGGGAGTTTGAGGAGAGACGGGATTTAGTCTTTCCCAGTTTCTATAAATACTGCTCCATTGTGGAGAAATCATTTTGATCTGACTTTGCCCATTTATTTAGCTTTCGATGCAGTAAATAATAAATCCTGTTGTGTCCAAATGAATATCAAATGTCTAATGTAGCACTAGGATGATTAACTGTTTCTCTGAGAGGTTCAAGGTAAAACCATCTCCAGCGTTGCTGGCTTAGGTGTCTCTGAAATCTGATTCAGGAGTGGCTGCTAATTCTGGTTTCTTTTCTTACCAGGAAAAATGGTGAATGTCCCCCTGGAGCAGCTGCCTCTCCTTTTTAAGGCCGTTCTACATTCCTGCAAGACGAGCGTGAGCAAAGAGTGAGCCCAGCTCGCCCCGGCCGGTGCCTTACGCTGTGCCTCAGGCAGGGAGCTGGCTCACCTTGGGAGAGGGGCAAACGCCATCCAGGCAGGAGACGGGGCGGTGAGCGTCCCTGCCATTGTAGCAAGAATCTTTTTTGTTTGTTTTTGTTTTTTTACTCTTTTTCCTATATATTTATTTCACGACAGAGTTGAATGTATGATCTTCAACACGATGCACATGGTTCTGTATGAATGCAGCAGATGCATTCTCCAGCGGTTTACAGAATGTGAAGATGTTTAATGTTACAGTGTTTGTTAGGGTTAGTTCTTTTGTATTTTGGGGGCTGGGGACCGAGATGACTAAGACTACCTCAAGGAGAAGATGCTGTTCGCGCACTGCTCTTTCCATGATTCGTACCCAAAAGCGTTTGTTGTAGAGAGCAAACGGCCTCACCACGTCGACAGAGCTGTTAGTATCCCAAATGGACGATTTTGGAGAAGTGGGCGTTAGAGAAGTGCCAAGCTTTTTTTCTTTAAATCCAATAATAATTTTAAGAAGGCAGGGAGTGGAGAAGAAGGAAGAGTCTGCCTAGCCAGTTGGTTTCTTTTCTCCTGGCAGTTTTCAGATGCAGGTGGTAGCTCCTGCGGTTTCCTTGAATCCTGCCCCAGCGGGATCGTAGTGCTCCCGAGCTGCAAGGGGCTCGCAGCCCCTGTCCCCTCCTGGGAGCTGCAGGAGTGGGCTCTGCCCCCAGCCCCAGCCCGGCCAGCTGGCCTCTCGCTATTGCCGCACACCTTTCTGTTCGACTGGCGTTGGGGTTGCTACAGCTCGTAGCAGGCTCCTGGCCTTACACAAAGGTACTCTTGTTGCTAGAGAACTGCGAGTAATTTCTCATCGCTTCCTTAACATCCATTTTAGGCTCACAAAAGCAGGAAAAACCTACTTAGAGAAGAGGCAGGATTGCCCCTTTTAGTGTATTCCTCCAAGGTGGTATCTGACTACTGAGGAGGCTTCTGCATCGCAGCGATCCCAAGCAGCCCGTTTTGGGAACAGTTAACGTACCCTGTGATTAAATGTGGCCTGTGTAACGGGGTGAGGGACTCCAGTGTCCCCTGGCATGGCTTTCTCTGCTGGACTCGGGGAATGCACGATCCATAGTCATATTCTGCCAGGACTGTTCTGCTGCTTGTGGGATCCCTTCTCACCAGGAAAAATGGTATTAATGCAGTACTTGGTAAACTGTTCTGTCCTAGGTGTTGCAAGGCTTGGATTGTCCATCTCGCAACCTCCACACCACTCCACTGCGTGGAGAACTGGTTTAATGACAACCGGTTAGCTGTTTGTGTATTTGCTAAGTGCTGGTGTTTATCTAAACTTGGGTATTCTCACAGGTAACCTCATGGCTTCCTGCTCGTGGTGGTGGTGGGGAGGTTGGATGAGATGCTCTTGTTCTCATCTCCTTCATTAAGAATTAACGTTTGAAGCCTCAGTCTCTCTCCTAGCCAGCCGTATCACCCTGGCTGGATTTCCTTCCCTGTGTCCTTAGATATGAATCGGATGTTTGTGTAGCAAGAGGGTTCATCAACAAATGTTTGAATGCTGTTTTAAAAATATTTTGGGAAACAACTTCTCTTCTGTCAGGGTAGGAGGGACCCGTTGCTACCTTTCTGTCTTGTCCTGATGAGAGCTGTGTGGCACAACGTGAGTACTGCTCAGAGGTACTGAAGCTGCTGTGAGATGAAGGTGATGGTGAACGGGAGAAAAATCTCATTCACCGAAGTCGTCTTTCCTTCCCCTTCACCCAGCGGGTGCTCCCTCAGTTGCAGCCCAAGAGACGCCGCGACCCGCTGGCTTGGCACATCCCCGGTCGGTCGGCA